AACCTCTACCAGTGAAGAGCTTCCACCTCCAGGAATGCCCAAAATAAGTGCTCTAATACTGCGCTTAAGCTGCAGAACCAAAACGATTTTGAGCATGAAACAAAAAGACGTTTAAAAAATCCGCTACGGATTTTTTGATGCCCTTTGCTACCGCCCATGATTTCTAAAAGGGGTAGGTATTAAGAAACATGGAGATACATAGGCAGTGTCCATGTTTTGTCCATGGTTTCATTGGATAAATTACACTGACGAGGTAATATATGCCCTCCATGTTTGTGACGTGTTAAAACATGTGAACAGTACACCATGAACATTGAAGAATGATCGGCGTTTGGCATTGTGAGCCAAGTTAAAACTCTGGTCTTTCGTAGAAAACCTATGAATCATCAAACCTGGAAATCATGGGAAACTTGAGAAATCATGGAATTCTGATTCCGTAAACGCACATTTTGAGTCTCCGAAATCGACACCACAGTCCGCGTTTGCTTCTGATACTTTTTTAAATATCGATCCAAATCTTTCCAGTTCTTATGATAGTGCCTTATTTCTGGGACGTAATAAAGCTCTTCATCACAGTCATCGATATCACGCTTCCGGCTGCCACGCGACGTGTTCGATGAAGAAACTTTGCTGCTCTTCTCTTCCTCACTGCTGCTCGCTTGATCCGGGCCTGACTGACTTGCATCGTTGCATGATGCCGCCTCTCTAGGATCTGCCTGTTTATCCTTGCCCTCATCATTTTCACTGAGAGCGCCACGAATTGCGACTTCTGTGTTACGTCCGTCTGCAGTTGCGTCTTCATCCGCTGCCAGAGTTTGGGCGTAGGGAACACCGTCCTGGGCAGCCTCGTTATCTATTAAACTCTCCAAGGAGGGCCCAGTTCCCTCACAGAGACTGTCGCTGTCGCTGCTACTGCTGCTCGTAGCAACCTGGATCTTTAGCGCTCTAAGAATCTGAGCGGTCTTCCTTGTTCGAGCCATAGGGAACACCTAAAACGAATTCATGGAAAACATGGAAAAGATGATAGAAACATGGGCGTACCAAATCATGGTAACACAAAGCAAAACATGTCAGAAACATGGCTCGTGTGGGTAGAACGAAAATTAAAGCACAAGCGCCAGCGAAGCCGCCATACGTACAGATTCCGCAGGAAACAAGCTGTGGGGCAACCGTTTAAAAGAACTAAACCACACGATACACGATGTTAGGATGAAATATACAACACACAGCAACCGCTACATACCTTGGTCGTGCTCGCAACCTCTCTTACGTGCTTCCCCAGCAGACGACTGGCAAAAAGACCTGCGCGTTCGCCGTCCGGAAACCCACCTACAAGTAGCTCCGCAAGGACACGTCACACTCTGCACAAACGACAGAGCAAGAAGACAAGCGCGATCACCTGGAGGGAGAAAAGAACTGTGTAGCTCTACAGCACACTGGGTGAGGGGAGGCGCGCTGTGGGGCAGGAAAGGCGGTGCTCCGAAGCTTCGTCAAAGCCACCGATGTGTGGCGAGCTTCTGGAAGAAAGATGACTGGCTCTCAAATCAGTAATTTAAAAACGAAAGATATTATAATTTACAAACATGGTGATTCATGGTTATAAAACATGCTTAAAGAATCATGGGCGGTAGATTTACCGTTTTTTTTATTGCGCTTAAGCTAGCGTTGATACGACGAAATGATAACCAATCATTTTGCGTCAACGACAAGTTTGTAACACGATGACAGACTCTGGAGACAGCGACGTCTTCCCTTTGGATTGCTTGAGCGAGGACGACACTGTATCGCTTCCACTGGACCAAGATGAGCC